ACTCAAAGCGATGACTACCAACTACCAGTACATGTACCAGAAGGAGAGGTTGGTACTCATACAGATGTTCAGCAGATAATTGGAGAAATTCCAGAGTGTGTGATTTCACTTGAAGACACAAATGACTTGGAAACAGGGAGTGAGACAAACGAACAAGAAGAATATGAACAGAAAGAAAATGAAAATGACCAAGGTGAAGCAGCTGTTCGAGAGGATGTGGAGGGTGATGTGAACAACAATGATTTAGCTTCAGATATACAAAGTGCAGACAATTTATCATCTTCACAAAGTAGGGAGAGTGATACAGAAAACAGTTCTTTGTTGGATGAAACTGACGTTAACAATATTTAAATGGAATGGCAAAGATGTTGAAACAATAGAAAACTGTCAAAGTCTTTGCAAGATGACAATTCCAGAACCAAAAGTAATTCTGAAATACTTGAAAGATCACAAGGACCAAAGTGTTATCATGGCAGGTCGCAAACATTGTTTGGTGAGTAGTATGAAGAATGTCCTGAATCTTTCTGGTGATATAAATATACTAACAGGTTCCAAGTCACCACCCAATCTTTCTATTCTTTGTGTAAGAATTCTGTGCAGCAAAATGTACCCAAAGCAAGCTCTCTGTGTCTCTTACGCCAATTGGAAATTTCCAGAAAGAGTAGAAAAGTGGAAAAATGAATCCAGGATCAAACACAATATGGTAATTCCTGAACTGGATGGAAGAATGCCAATAAATTGGTTCTATATTCCAGAATATTCAACAGACAGAGAAGAACTCCTTGTTAGGAAAATTGACCCCCATCACTTGTTAACCCGGCATAGGTCTGCTTTATGTAAAAGGAACATTGGTGATGCTGAAAGGAAACATTTCTTGGAAGTAGCAGCTGACAATACCACCCCTCTCAAACTAGGCATGCTAGAAGAAAGTTTGGATATGCAGAGTACTGACTTTGCTCTCATCACTTTTTCTGAGGAAGTTCAGACTCAATTGGAACTTAAAGGGTACAATGCTTCTGCCAGGTGGTGCCAGCTTATTCGTGAATGGTTTCACTCAATGGATGAACCAGGAATCCCTGCAGTTGAAAGATTCAAAATGAAAATGAGGTTGGTGTAAAGAAATGTACATTTTGTAGTTTTTTGTCAGAAAAATCATTTCTTGTCATCCGCTGATTACAGATGTTTTAGTAAAAATTTAGTTTAAATGCCAATTTATTAAAGATCATAGAAAACAACTTTCTAAAACACATGATGAGAGAGCGTTTAGCGTTTCTGTCCCATCATTGTGGAGTAGTTTGCCACCCTAGCTTCAGATAATCACGAATTTCATTCTTCTTCAGAAGAATCCAAGATATGTATTCTATGTTTATGCTAATGCTAATTCAGACATTTTTATAATCTGTATTTTAATATTATACTTTTTTTTATTTTAAGTGAGATTTTGGTTTTTCCTTTTTAGCTTGATTAATTTTATTGGTTTTATTTACACTCATCGAGGAGTTATATTTTTTTAGTATTTTTATCTTTTACTGTAATGTACAGACTGCTGATACAAGATTGTGTAGTGGTCTCTGTACAATAAATTATTATTATTGTTTGTTCACATGTTTTGTATGTTTTTATTTTTTGTTTACTTGTACATACAGGGAAACTCTGCTGCCTATGGTTGATATGAATTGCTTTCCACCTCCTGGAATGTTTGTGAAGGGCTATCCTAAAGCACTCTGGGAATCTACCATTGCCAGCATTGATGCTGAGCTGATACTGTGTGGACTTGTTAAAAGGCGGACATACAATCAACGTGCTATAAGTAGTCAGCTGTGTGAAAGTCTGTTTGGAAGTCTGGCTTCACTTTCAAGTTCAAGAAATGGTGCCCCCATCTGCGTCGACTTGGAGACCAATTTTGCTAAAATATGTGGAGAAATGGTTGTACGTTACGATCTTCGCAGGTACATGTAATGCATATCTTTCCACTAACAAAACAAAAGTTGTCTTTAAATGAACAACTTGCAGATTCGATTTTCACTTGCAAAGAAATACCTAATATTTTATTTATTATGAGCTACTATTATTAGACTATCTTTAATTGAGAAAAAAATGTTTAACGAATTTTTGTATTACACTGATACTGTCACAAATGTGATATGCAATTTGTACAAGCAATGAAATGTTAATATTATACCAAGTAAGACTTCATATTTTTAACCAAGATAACAGCGTATTATGTCTGTTGACTCTACCTTGACATGTGCATGTTGTATTTACTTAAATAGCAGTACAGTTTGATACCATGTCACATATAATATTTGCTTACATTTTCCATTTCAGAGGTTTTCCAATAAGATTGTCATCAGCTTCTATTTATCCCCATCAGGAGCTAAAGATTGCATCTTCTCCAAGTTCTCAGCCGATGGATCCACCAACTTACATTTCAGAGATAAAACTTAAGGTAACGCACCAGTTAATTGAAAGCCCATCTCAAGGGCATGCTGTATTGCTAATAAAGGTATTGTTCATGCTTTTGATGTACTTCGGTGCAATGGGCTTGTGTCATACTGAGGAAACCCCAGTACAGAATTGTACAGATAGTGACTTGTCATCTGTAGTTTGGTCAAGCCTCATGTCATCTTTAAACTTTCTGTATATCTATTGTAACCCAGTCCCTTCTCCTTTTCTAATTTTTAAATGAGCTTGCATGTGTCTGGACTTGTGCTCTAGAAACATGCCTGGGTGTGGGAACTTGGGAGTAGATTGTTCTTGAATTAATTGTAACATGCCACACTATGTCCCTGACCCTGGTGGATAAATTCTGTCAAGCTCTGTGTTTACTCAATGCTCTGTTTCCATGTTGTGATTTTTTCGATTCTATGCCAACTTTGCATGCATTTCAGTACATTTGTACTACATTTTACTATTCCAGTGTTCAAACTATGAAAAGGGACAGGGATGTGTTTAATGTTTGACTGTGATAGCTACTAGAATTTCAAAGTTTATACAAAATGTGCTTCAATACTTTGTGGAAAGAATGTTTTAAAGTATTTATTAAAGTGTTTATTTTCTAGGATCACCCATTCGACAAGCCAGATAGACGACGCACGGCCAGACACAGATTACAGGGACTCACAAAGTCACATGAACCAGGCAAGGGGGTCACTGGAGTCAAAGGATTCCATAAAGTTAATGAAGGAAGGCTCAGTGGACTTGTGAGACTGGGAAAGAGTGCAAAAACAAATTTGTGAAGTGCAAATTCTCAGTCAACTGTTGATGTCAGCATGTCTGTTCAGAAAAATAATGCAATTAAAATGCTGAATTATTTTAACAGGAAAAATGAAAATTTATTAAAATATATGAAAACAGTACACAATGTTCATAAACTGTAAATAACAATGAACTTTATAGGACTACTTAACCTGATAAAAGTAGGTACATTTTTCAAGCACAAGTGATATCGATGATAACTTGCAATATCTTAGGCCAAGAAAATAAAGAAGTTTGTTTCTCATTCTAGACATCTTGCAAAATTGACACAGCAATTAGACTTTTTTTTCATTTTTGTTATTCTTCAGCCAAAAACAAAATGCAAACAGAATGTACACAGAGATAAATTCAAAGCAGTGCTTCTGGGTGGGATTCTTGTATATCAAAAGTTCTGCAGTTTTACTCTGCCATCACTTGTGTGCAAATAAGCATAACGGATCCTCTACACACAACACGTGTCATTCAGAAATGTACACTGCCCATTCCTACAGTTACTCAAATTTTCTACCATGTGCACTGCATTATTGTCACTCCTTTTGGTGGGCTTCTATTTATTTGTTTTCTTCACTTTTGATGAGTCAATGAGATGGGAAAAAAACGGTTGACACAGCAGGTCGGAATTGACAAGTGTGGGGAGGAGAAACAAACTTATTTTTTCTTGGCCTTAAAGCTTTTATTTCAATGTTTGTACACTGTTACAATATTGTATGGATGACATGTTACTTTTCTCAAGCTTTTGAGATGACAGACTGAGAACATAATTAGTCATCTATCCACATATCTCTGTAATGGTATTCTTTATTTTCATTGTAATATTTGAAGGTTTTAAAAATGGCAGGAAATTTAAGTTTAACAAAAATATATTAAAATAAAGTATTTCAATGAATATTTGTTTTACGTTTGGTAAGCTGATTTTTAAAGCTTATTAGCTGTAACTTTTGGAAAGTTTTTCAATAGTTTTGTTTTGTGTATCAGCTGTGGTTTCTTGTTCTACTCCCTGTTCCTATTATGCTTATCAACCACAGCCTATACAAGATAAACCAGAATTGTTATTGTTGACAATTTATTTCAAGTGTTGAATGGAATTCATTTGTCGGCAATAACATTTGTTAGTACACATATACAGAATATGTTACCAAGTAGAAGATTGTATATTCTAGCATGCTGTGCAAAAGTAGAACAAACTGTGGCTAATACATTGAACTGAAAATACTAACAAATTTGCTAAAAGTTACAGCTAATGTCCATTTCAGTATTTATGCACTGTATGTGACTACAGAAACAAAAAGGCCATACAAACCCACTATTATTTTGTGAAGTTCACCTTTATGAATAATTTTGGAATAACAACACTAAAATGCTATGATAATTAGCTTGTATGTTTTGTCATTGGTATCAGTTTCCAAAATGAACCCAACATGGTGTCATGAAGTTTGTAGAGCTGAAGGAAAGTCTGCTATTTTCATGAATGTAACAACTTTGATAACTTCATATTCTTCTACTCTATAACAGGTAAATAACATTTTGGTGAACAAATTGGATTGGACCTTATTTGTATGTTTTGGAATTTGTAATTTGTTTTGTAATGCAACTTCCCTCCTTGATTGACAATTTCAAAATGACATCAAACTAAGTTGTTTGTATGGCCTAAGAACATAGATTTTGTTAACTCTATTTCCAGTACAAAAGAAAACATTGATATGCATTTGAAATGGCAGCATAACATAATTTGCACCCATCGCTTAGTTGTCATCCCATACATGTGCAGTGTCAGCTGGATTACAACAAGGATATTTTCGAGATTCATGTTTTTCTAATAAATTTCTTCTTTTAAAACCTTTACCGCACACAGAACACAAAAAAGGTGCTGAATCACTATGTTTGAAAAGCTGATGACTCTTTAAGTCACCTTTGCGTGAAGTTTTATAGTTACACAGTGTACACTGAAATTGTTTCTCATCTGAATGGGTCTTTAAGTGAGCGGTGTATACATATTTAAATCCAAACATCTTTCCACAAGTGCATGTGTAGTTGGCCTCATGACAGCCCTTTTTGTGTTGCTTAAGGGACAACTTTGAGTTGAAATGCTTTGAGCACTGATCACATACATGAACTTCATGCATGTGTGAGGATTCATGCCATTTCATGCCCAAAAATGTCTTTGGTTGAAAACCACAAATGTTGCATGTCTTTATACCCTTGTTTGTGTGGCTACAGCCATGTTCAATAAGTTTCCTTCTCTCGGAAAAACTTTTGCCACAATGACACTTGTAAGGATATTGCCCAGTATGACTCCTGGAGTGTTTCCTCAGTCCAGTCTTTGACTTATAAACCCTGTCACATACCTTGCAGATATATTCAGGGGGTTTCTTTGACAAAGCCTGGTCAGCATTTGATTCATTTCCTTGGTATACCCTTTCAGTATCCGTCCCAGTTGCAACTGCTGCATCATTCGCAACTTCACCAGTCGCCACATTCTCTGGGTCTGAATCAGTCGCTACTTCTGTTTCAGAACTTTTTAATGTCAGCCCACCAGCTTCAATACTCTCCAGTAACTGCAAAGCTCCTAAAACCATGGGAACATACAGAAAACCATCAATCATAATTTTAGGCACTAGTTATAGTATTATAATTGTATCCAGAGAATTTATCAATGCAGCAATTAATGTAATCTCCTGAGCAATACAGCCAGACAAACAAAGTGAAATTTGGTCCGGGGGTGGGGCAATAACCCCATTTAGTATCCCCAGCCTATTGTACTCACCCCCCCCCGTTGACATGTTGGCACCCCGAGCAATTTGACGAGCAGATGGTGAAATGAGGTCAGTCACACCTTGGACATGAGATAGAACACATGAACTGGTTTAATGTCCCAAAATATTCTGGTAAAGGTACAATTCCCCTGTTGAGGCTATCGTGGATGAAATACTCTGGTCCTCATGTTTTGGGATTTTTTTCCTGCACCAGGGGATGAGTCAAGTTGAAAATTTCATGAGAATGATTTTCAAATCCCATGTATTAAA